TTAACACACCATTTGCTTGCTTTGGTAAGGTCTTTAATACCCAGAAAGGCAGTGGTATTGCAGGAAGTGAACATCTAGTCCTCCACAAATGACTGTAGGCCAGCATCTACATTGGGATGCTTATGGAATGCCCATTGCCCATAAACCTATCAAACTCTGACCAAATATGCACTTTCACACAGAAATGTCACATCACAGTGCAAAATGGAGAGTCAAACACATTTTTCGCCTGTTTTTAAATAGCAGCTTAAAACCGTAATCTGTTAACACAGAAAATAACAATGGTTAAATTATTTGGGAGAAGAGAAAGAACTCCTGTTCTGACCCGACTTCAGTATATATCTGGAAGATTGCCTTCAAAAACAACTTTTGGAAAATAACAAAATTTGGGAAAATACCAGATAGTTTATTGTACTTAAAGCAATGCTAATAAGCACAAGCATGATTCACAACCAAAAAGAAAACCATATTTGGGCTTCTAATTAAGCAAAACACAGTGTGTTCAGTGAGTGGGAACGAATCGCAGAAAGAGCTTTGTTCTTTAGTCTAAAATAAGCTGTCAATGTACAGTGGATACAAAACTTCTACACACCCATGTTAAAAATGGCAGGTTTTTGTGATTGCAAAGTTAAATCATGACAGAACCTTTTTCACCTTTATTGTGAAATTGCAACATATAAACAACAAGAGACAAACACCCACAAATATTTTTGGGGAAGAAAGAAAAACCTAAACATTTCCAATACCCATCATGCATAAGTGTGCACACCCTTTTATAAGTGGGAATGTGGGAGTGTTCAGAATCAACCAATCACATCCAAACTCATGTTAAATACTAATTAGTATACACCTGCCATTAATTAAAGTGACTGGTTGATTAGCCCTAAATAAAGTACAGTACAGCTGTTCCTATAGGATTTCTCTCACTTCTTGTTAACAGCCAACTAAAGCCATGGGCCTCAAAGAGCCTACAAAGCAGGTATGGGATCTCATTGTGAACATCATCCGCTAGGAGAGGGTTAGGGAGAGGCATTGGATATACCACGGAACACTAAAGACAATCAACAAGTTGAAAAAACATGGCAAGACAGTGACACTACTAAGTACAGGATGTCCCTTTAAAATTGATTGTTTCTTGTGCAAACCCTTAAGGCTTCTCCTAGAACACTTAGGGTGAAGAGGAATTTCACCCTTCAACCTGACAACGACCCAAAGCAAACCTCCAGATCAAAAAAGGAATGGCTTCACCGAAACAAGTTCAAGGTTTTGGAATGGCCCAGCCAGAGTCCAGACATAAATCCAATCAAAAATCTGTGGGGTGACCTGAAGAGGGCTGTGCACAGGAGATACCCAGCCGATCTGACAGAGTTGGAAAGCTTTTGCAAGGAAGAATGGCTAAATATTGCCAGGTCAACTTACCCAAAAAGATTGAATGCTGTGATAAAATCTGAAAGTGATTTAACTAAGAATTAGCTTAGAGGAAAGAAAAAAAAAAAAAAGAAATTACCCCCGGCCCCCTCCCCCCAAAATTGATTCTTACTGTTTTTCACTTTAATGAATAGGTTAAAATAAGGTCACAATAAAAGTATAAAAATCTCCAACATGATTTATCTTGCTTTCCTTTTCTACATTACAAAAACTTGCCATTTTAACCGGGGTGTATAGATTTTTTTATCCACTGTATGATAATCCCAAACATGAAAAGTGTGGGCCCACACTGTCCTGTTTCCAGCTACATCTGCATCTTCTCCGACCCTATCTCTTTCTATCCTCCCTCCAGTGTCCGTTCATTAGTACAACTCTTTCTGTTGTGTCTAACAGTCTAGCATTTACAGTGTTCAGGATAAGATAACTTTTCAAATCAAACCCCAAAAAAAGAACAGTCACGTAAACTTTGAGCTAGCCTGTACATCTTTAAAACCGTAAATGATGGTAATATTCATTAAGAGGATCGCCTCAACGTTGTTCCATTCAGGCCCATATAAGACACACAGCTTACATTTTCTCACATCGTGCATAGCTGTGATTTGACTTAGTCATGATGCACTTACCTTTAAATATGACCCATAATACTTGGTAACGAAGGGGCTGTCGCATTGACTCAGCACTGTGATCTCCTGCTGAATGTCCTCGATCTCATCTTCGGCTTCCTCCAAATCAATTATCTTAATGGCCACGACCTTCTGTGTACGATTGTCTATTCCTTTAAACACCTCTCCAAATGAGCCTTTCCCGATCTTCTCCAGCTTAGTGAACAGCTCTTCTGGGTCAGTTTTAATATTCTAAACGAAGAAAGAAAGGAACATTAGGATATGGTTAGCTTTAATTACACAAGCTTTTGCTAACTCCATGTTAACCAAGTCCATCCGCATTCCACCTTGCAATGGACACTAAGCTGTACAGTCATGTGAATAAATAAGTACACCCCATTGGAATTTAGCCTTTGACATATCTGGACAAGCAAATATTCGATCATCTTTGAAACAGTGCCTATTAATATAGTTTATATACTTGAACAAAACCAGAAGGAAAATTGGCTTTTTCCAATCATTTATTCAACAGAAATATCAATAGATGTGATATTCTTCTGTGGAAACAGTAAGTACACCCTTGGCCTCAGAAGCTTGTATTGCCCCCTTTAGCAGAAATAACTTCTTGTAGGCATTTTGCATAATTGTCCACCAGTCTCTGAAATTGGCTTGCTGGAATTTGTGACCACTTTTCCATGCAATATTCTTTCAGTTGCAAGATGTTTGAGGGTTTTCTTGCATGTACTGCCCATTTCAAATCGCCTGCAACATTTCAATGGGATTCAAATCCAAGCTTTGACTAGGCCATTCCATAACCCTCCATTTCTTCTTTTTGAGCCATTCTTTGGTAGATTTGCTAGTTTGCTTAGGATCATTGTCCTGTTGAAAAGTCCACTTTTGATTCACCTTCAACTTTCAGACAGATGGCCTCGCATTATCTTCAAGCACTCTTTGATGATGCAGAATTCATAGCTTAACCAATGAATGCATGCTGATTTCATAAAGCCTAATGTGTTTGTGCCCATGACCAAGCTTCAAAGAAGCAAAGTCTTTGTTCTGTACAACACAGCCTGTGTTTTCTCTATTATGTCTTTACTTTTACAAGACATGTGTTTAAATGTGAGGTGATGGAGTTGAAGAAGTTAAAGTCTTTGTAACCACATCTTTTTGGATATCCAACCTGATTTGTACACACTACACTCAATGCATAATGCTAATAAACTATATTTTGTCATGTACAATAGTTATAGTTCCACATAAAAACACATGATCATAATATCTGGACGGTTTAAAGAATGTACGTGAGTTATTTACTTTTCATAGTAAGAAAGAACTTAAATGAAGTTCCAAAATCCAGTGACCTCTCGGGTAGTGAAAACTACACCGCCTGAGCTGCACAAAACACAAAGATAATGGCCCTGTTCACAGAAGGATTCCTTTTCATTGTTTGCTGGTATATGTTAAAATCGAAGGAATTTGACTAGACACTCAATAGTAAAGCACATTCAGGAAAAGAAAGCAAAGAAAACAATGGAAGTGGAATAAAATAAATAAATAAAACAGCCTTAAAAAGGCCAGAAACCAGACACATTTGCAACGGGCTAAAAAGGACAAAAAAATACACCAGCTATGTTTGGAATAGTACTTCGCTACTCTGTTTATTCTGGTTTATGAGTTAAAGCATACCGGTAAACTCGTATTACTACTTGGCCTCTAAATCTTAAGATTGATAAAAGTCTGTGACAAAGTACAAAAGCAGACGTCACAGTGCGTCGCTCACATCAGGAACGGAACATTACTTTTGTTTCAAATTTAAAACGATCAGAATAAATAAATAAATAAACAAACAAACAAAAACAAACAATGCAAGGTTTTCAGAAATTAATTGGAGTTGCTTTTTATCATAACAATATGCATTTCCCCACACCTTCAGTCAGAGGTTTGGACTAATGGCTTATAATCTAGTCTCTGAGAGTCTTTACACATCTTATATATGTGTTTTATTCATCTAGCCAACATGTATTGAACAGTAACAGTATAAAGGTGTGAACAGGATTCATTATTTGCAGGCCTGATAAAGATGATTTGATACACAAAGCACAGACCACACGCACAAAAAGCCTGGAACAGCTGTCACACAAAACAAACACTCTTACCATTCACATGGAACGGTCATTAACATGCCACTAACAAAACTAGAAAAGTGAAAAAAATAAGTTTGTTACAATGAAGAGCAGAGATTTTACCTGTGGCCTGACAGACTCCATTTGCATTCTTTTCTTCCAGCTGAACATTACTCACACTGGCCCTGCCAGTCAGGTGGAAACACTATCATGAAAGTAAAATGAAAGTGAGCAACGCCCCACGCACACTTATCTAACATGCATGAGTGCACGATCTTATGGAATGGAGTTAAAGGGGCAGCGGAGCCCTACACAGCTAATCAGAGGGGGTAAACAATATTTACAGCCACAATCTGGCAACAAGGTTTCATTTCAACAGCAATGAGCTATAATAATCTTTACGTGTTTAATTCAGATTATTCAGTGAGTTGCCTGAAGTTTTTGATGATTTTTTCACAGCCAGGCATTTGGATATTATGATGTGTGTGGTGTTGTGGGGAAACCTGTTGGATGTTACTGTGGCTGAATTCTTGAAAACCAGTCAGAAGCCAAAACTGAATTAATTCGATTTAAATTGACATAATATACTCAGACATCTAGACCTCTATATCTGTATATTTTCCAAAAGATGTGAAAGTGTTTTATTTAGGCCACCTTTTAAGCTCATCTTGGCCGTCTGCCTGCAAATATCACACGGACTACAGAGCCAGCTTAACACTCATACACTACAGACAATTTAGAGATGTCAATCAGCCTACAACAGATAACTTTGGACTGGGGAAGGAAACCAGAGTACCTGGAGGAAACCCCCGAAGCACAGGGAAAACATGCAACTGCTGTGTACACAGGGCAGAGGTGGGAATTGAACCCCCAACCTCAGAGGTGCGAGGCAAACGTCATAAACACTTGGCCACCGTGCCCCCCAGTTTAACAAACATGGTAGTAAAAATAGTCAGTCTGCTTAAAACCTTTAGTCAAGTGTGTTCTCACACAGTGAATGTCACACTTTGATCAAGTTGCTGTACAGATACGTGTCAGCAAAATGGGCATTAGGCTATCTATTCAGTTTCTAATAAGGTACTGGCTGTCAAAATGTCTGCGATGCTCCTGCATGTCACATCAAAACAGAGAAGACTGAATTCATATTCGCTCCAGAGGACAGCGTGCAATGTTGAAATGACCTAATAATAACACATTAACATCAAGAAATTTAGCCAACAGAACAGACTGAATCAGCAATTATTTCCCCATTGGCTTTTACCTGAGATGATGAGACAGAGACTGGTGTGGATGATGCTGATTAAAGTGAGAACTAATTTCCACTTATAGTTCTTTAATATTTGGCAATAATGGTGTATTTCCACAAGTAAATTAGGTTTGTATTTTAAAGCATATTTTTTATAATTTAAAAAAAAAAAAAAAAAAAATAAAAAAAAACCCCCCGGGGGGGTGTTGTTTTTTGCCCCGCGCCCCTGTTTTTTGAAAAAAAAAAAAAAAACAAAAAAAAAAAAAATAAAAATAAAAAATAGTTTATTTGGGATAGGAAAAAAATTAATAATAAAAAAAAAAAAAATATGTGTTTGTTTTTTTTTTTTCGGGTTGCCCAACTAGAAGTTTACTTGTGATTTCTCAACTTTTCATTCATCCATTCATTCATTTGTTATCCAGCATACAGCAATCAGTCAGCTGCATTCATGTTTATGCCAGCACGCCTGCCTGTTATATCATTTCCCGTTAAAACAGAAAGTACATTTGCTGAAGAGAGAGAAGCTATGACTAACTTTACAGCCACAATAAAAATTTATTAAAGAATACGAGCACGAATTTCAGGGTAAGATACAACATAACTGCTTTAGGAATACTGAGACATACTGGCAGAGATAATGACAAATAAAAAACAACAATCTAAAACCTGTGACAGCACCAGAACGGACAATCAGGTGATAAGCGAGTTGTGTGACAGGGACATGGGACAGGAAGGAAAGTGCTGCAGTGCTGGTAAGCCACATAATGGTTACTCAGTCAGGCTTGACTCTTGACCTCAAAGCCCTACCTGATCCGGCACTAGATCTGCAGAGCTATACTACAATCACTACTGACATTGTTTCTAATACCAGGTCAAGCCCAGACTCATCACGGCTGCAAGTCAACGCACAATCGACAAGACAAGCATGACTTTTACTCAGGACACAAGTCAGGATGTTCCAGGTCTGAATAACAACAACATCACTGTTACATGTCAAGTGTGAATACTTTATGTAAGAACACACAAATCCGAGTTGAAGCATTAACATTTCTGATAATACTGCGGTGTCTCTTTCTTACTAGGTTAAACAGCGTTGTCACTACACTAAACACATTCTAATTACATTAAAAGCGCAACCCCACTGACCTACTTTTTCTGGGTGAAAGAGCTAGTGAATAGTCGACCCCTGCCACAGAAGACAGACAAGTAATAAGTAAGTTTAAAAAAAACCAATCACTTTCCCCATAGCTGTTAACACACCGCTCTACAGTTGAAACAGTATTGGAAATTCTCCACAATTCCACCACTACCCTTCAAAATAAAACGATTTCTAAAAGAAACCTAAATCTAACACCATCTTTCCTTTTTTCCAAACATTGTAAAGGAATGTTACTTTCGGCTACACTCGGATGCAATCAAAATAAAACAGGATCAAATATTAGACTGTGTTTATTCAATTTTTAATCATGTCACTGCTGCTTGTATTCGAGTTCTCAAAAAGTGTCAGCAAGTTCAGAATGGTCCTGGACAGAAATAACAACCAGGCCGCATTTCTGTTTCTGTTACAATCACTTGCTATGTTCAAGGGATGGGCAATATCTTATCGTTTGCGATATACCGGTAGAAATTCTACCCCACGATAAGAATGAATCTTCCCACGATAATAACGATAAAGCCTAGTTGATGATGTATTTCTGTGTGCGACCCATTCGCAGCTCACGTGCAGAGCGAAAACAAGTACGGCGGAATGCGGACGTGAAGCTGAGGAGGAGTTTATCACTAAACGTGGAGCTACCTCTACAACCTGGAACTGGTTTGGTTATAGAAAATCAGTTTTCCCTTTTAGATCAATGTTTGTGTTTCAGAGGCTCTCAAGACTGCAAACAGCGGTCACTTGGGGCCAAAAACAGTAGTGAATGGTGCTATATTTATATCATCGCTGATATCGTTATCGCAATGAACACCAGAAAATATCCTGATCTAGTTTCATATCTATAGTCTCAAGTCCATATCGCCCATTCCTACTATGTTCTCACTCACTCAATCAGTAACCACTAATCCCAATCAGGGTCACGGTGGATCCGGAGTCTATCCCAGGAACTGTGTGTATGAGGCAGGGACACACCCTGGACAGGACACGAGGACTTACGAGTACTATGTTGCAAAAAGAAGAAAGGAAAAAAAAACCCTGATTCTCACACATCAACATGCACTCACATCTCGCTGCGTAGATGGAAGATGATGGGACTGAGAATTGGTTCAGCAACGCTCACGCCTCCTTGCACGACTGAGTAAAAGGGGTCAAAGTAAGTTATGATGCCTGATGGTCCAGCTCCATAAGATATCAGACAAGGATACGCAACACCACTAGCAACTATTCTTCTAACCCAGAGTTTCCCTAAACCAGGGGTATTCAATCTGATCAGCAAAGTGGCAGTTTGCCTGTAGGCTTTCAGTACAGTACTGGAGGCACTTGGTCGTTGTTTGGAGGCTCTGGACTGATTAAACCAGTGAAACCAGGTGTAGCACTTGCTTGGTTGGACTGGTGCTTTGTGAATAGGATTGAAAACCCCTGCCCTAAACCAGCTCCAATATAATCACTTGCTTTGGCGGATCATACAAATGCACACAGTATCGCGGCTTCACTCACAACCACTACTTCCGGTGTTGTTTCGGGGCTCGTGGCGCTCAGGAAACTCCCCAGGAAACTGAACTAGTATCATGTAGAAACACAGCCTGACTCTGTATCCCTTGTGTTTATTACAGAACCGGAAGTTACTGCAAAAGCGATGGAGCACGCATACAGTGCACAAAGACAAGTCTTACTGGCAGAACCAACTCACTCCAAAGATGAACAATCATGTAGCAGGTGTTTTAATCCGAACCCCAAGGGAAACATTTACTAGATAATAAACCTACTGCGCTCTGTGGAGCTTAGCAGCGCGGACATCGTAGAACAGAAGTGTTTCTTCTCACATTATAGGTCATTTCTACTGTACGCTGCTGCTGAATGTGTGACAGTGGGGTGAGGATAAACCAGTCAGCGTTACCTGTATGCCTGAGAGTCCTCTCTGGACAGGAGAGGGACGAGCCATGACTTCCTATTCACACCAAGTCTCTTGGCCAAAACAAAAGTCTGTATAAATCCAAACTCCCACGTGGACGCGACCACCAGTGTGGATAGATCAGCTTGCTGGGTTTACCATAACACAAAAGCCAGGGAAACACTCCAATACTGTGCAGGCGAATATAAAGCCTCCTTGTTCCAAGCGCGGCTCGCTTAGCTTAGCTAAACGAAGGAGTTATTTTTGTTACGATGGCAACTAAAGGAAATTGCTGCGAGCAGAGCGAAGTGCTGGAAGGACTGATCGTGGTTAGGAACACAGACACTTAGCGCTGACTCCGGGGCTGTGTGGTTCTCGGTGCTAGCGACCGAGCTAGGCTCGATGGAGAAATTACACCTCGGCCACTCGGACATCCAGAACACCGCTCTTCAGCACTTCTTCGCGGGATAAAAGAACGCCAGAGACGAGCGACAGTGCTGAGATGATTACGCGCGATAACCCGCCAGAGTCACTGGACTGGAGAGGATTAGGTTATTTTTGCCAACTGCCGCATAAGTTCGGTGGACGGACAGCAGGCTAGTTAGCTAACTTTCAACTTCCGCTTAGAAGAGCTGTCAATACTGCACGGTTCCTTGTTATATCTGAAATCCGAAGGCTAGCAAACGATAGGTTGGTGTCTACATTTAAAATAGGGTTGGGTTGTTTTTTTTTTTTTTTTTTTAAGCACGCAAAATTTCACCAAATACACTGAACGACTCTCCTCATTTTCCGCTGTAGCCTTCCGCCATATTGAAACCTCTGATTATTTCAAGGCGGGGTCAAAAGGGTCGCGAGGACCAATCGCTCTTCCGTCATAAGTTTTCACCACGCCCCTTGACGACCGCGGTCCAAAATTGTCTGACGACCGGTCCCAATTGGCTTCCTGATCCTTACACAAGAGCACTCAAATTGTAGCTTTTGCACCCTATGGAGTGCACTACATGTGCAACAGTGAGCCATTTGCGATTCAGCCATGGCCCGCGCTGCTGAAGTGGGCGTTGTCGCTGTGGCGCATGCGCTTGAGAGACAGAAGTGGTTTGTGGTTCATTGCTCAAATGTAGGCTAACTATTAAAAAAAGAGGAGAAAAACCTTTAAATTTTACAACTCTCTCTCTCTCTCTAGATAGATAGATAGATATATAGGCGTGTTTGCTAAACATGTTAACAGTACACAGTCATGATCTATGAACTTGGCTGTATAATGTATATATGGAGGGTCACTAACTTTACACCGCACATGCAGAACTGGAACAAACCTAAATTTACTACTAGTAATTTTCCACAGTTATTATTTGACACACATTTGACGATCTTTTACTAATAGTACACTTTTAGCCTATCTATTGTTCAGGCTACAGTACACTAGCATCAAGTTAGTCAAATGTACAATATATACACTCACTGACCATTTTATTAGGAACACCTGTACACCTGCTCACTGATACGATCAGCCAATCACGTGGCAGCAGTGCAGTGGATGCAAGGCTACAGGTCAAGAGCTTCAGTTAATATTCACATCAATCATCAGTATGGGTTAAAAAAAAAGTGATCTCAGTGTGTATGATCTCAT